CGGGCCCCGCCAGCCAATCACACGGCGGGAGGGGGCGGGGCTGAGATGCTTCAAAGGCGCGCGTGCTCTTCGCGGAACCAACTGTCAAGTGGGCGAAGATGCGGCGCGGGTCGCGTGGGAAGTCGGCGAGGAGGCGGAGCCGGAACACCTCGGGGGCGGGGCGTCGGAAGGAGGGAGGGGTGGCTCCTGAGGACCCCCGCCCGCTGAGAATGGGAAGGTTTGGCGCGTGGGAAAAGGAGGCCGGGGGTAGGCGATGGGGGGAGGGTGCAAGTGCCGTAGGGGAAGGACCCTCACTTACATCCCCGCTGTGATATATGAAATTCCACCCCAGTAGCTTTGAGGCCAATAGGCGCGACCCTAGGTGTAGTCAGAGGGCCCACTTGAGGGAGTCCTGAATTTGGGTGGGTGGGCAGGACGAGGAGGACAGGAAGTAAGCCCCAGCCCCCCTCCCTGGCCAGTGGAGCAGGGTAGGCCCTGGCATCCTGGTCCCACTCCCTGCTGGCCCAACAGGCAGAGCTGGGTAAATCCCAGGGGTTGGCCTCTTAGCTATGCCCCTTCCTTCCTGGTAGGGGGCAGCTGAGGCAAGGATATCCCAGAGCACACTGCCCTAGTCTAGGCCCATGCTACCTCCAGTCCCTTCCAGGGAAAGGGAAACTGCCCATTGGGGACATTTGCACTTCTGCCTCAAGCAAACTGCCCTCAGGTTCTCTCTGTTCTGTGGATCTGGAGATTTCCCTCCCTGTTCCTATTCACTGCACAGCCCCACCCATCTCTGTGCTTCCCCTGTTTGGCCCACTGAACTGTCAGGTAGAGCCATGACCCCTCAGGCACAGAGTCTTTTAGACTTTTTGTCATGGTGTGCCTATGGCTCTGGCTGGTCCTGTAGAATTACCTGCCCAGACTAAGCTTAGTGAGCCAATAGTTGAATCCTGTGGTTGCCACTTTGGATGTAGTTTTCAGTGATCAGCTCAGTTGAGCTGAGATTCCTCAGTGGTAGGGTATTTCCCTTCTGTACAGGTTTTCAGGGAGATGAGAATACCAGGTGCATGCTGGGTTTTTTTGTGTGAGGTTTCCTGTTGCCACAGTTTCTTAAATAAATAAAGTTTTTGTTCTTCTACAAAGAACACTGTTGCTTGTGGGGAGAGGGGTGCTCTTCAATTCTGGTGTATTGGAAAGCTTATTGGGCAGCAGGTTGACTTGCTCCTTGACTATGTGAACATGATATACCATTTCTTTAACTGATGGAGCTGTAAACAGTGACCCATGACAGTCAAATCTTCTCATTCCATAATCTGAAAAAAAACCCTATCCTAAATAATTGAAGAGAAACCTGTGACTCAGCTTTTCCCACCCGGGTGGCTAGTTGACAGCTAATGACTTATTTTCAATGTCTAATGACTAACCCACCTTGTAGCTTATGTTGCAAATTATATTGTGATTCCTTATATAGGGAACTACAGTTATTTTCTGTTCAGTATTTCTCCATGCCTGCTCATCTAATACAAGGATACCCTGCTCTACAGAGAAGATTTCTAGATGCTTTTTTTGAGTGGATAGTAGGGTGTTCTCTAGCCTCTCTGGGTACAAGCTTGATGTCATCTCTAGGTGTTAACGGTTTTAAGTTACAGATTTTCAGTTTTTTACTGATGCAGCCTGCTGAGCCCATAGCTAATCTACCAAGGCTCTGATGAGCCGAATGGGCCCAGTCAATTTATTCAAACATACATTTGGTATTTATATTGTAGTAGAACCACTACTCATACTTCTGTACCAGGAATTTAATTAGTTCCAGTGTGGAGAATGACAGGTCTCCTTACCATATAATTCACAAGGTGGAGTAGGTTTGCCTCTGCCTACACTCAAGAATTAAGGTCTGAATATTAGCACCCATTTGCCTGAGAGGGGAACATAAGGTACAGCAGGGTCTCAAGGTGGGACCTTGGCCTATGAAAGGCACAAGGTCTCACCCTAGCACTTCAATTCAAAGCCTGTCACCAAAATTCTAGATCTTTTATCTCTGAGAACCATTCTGCGTTATTCTAAGGTGCTGCAAGGAAAGCAAGAAACTCACTGGTCTTCCTCCAACTCACTCATGGGAGTGAAAGTTCCTTCCTGATCCTCCTAAATGCGTGATCAACCAGACTCAAAGCATGTCAGGCCAGGTTCCAATTCCTAATTTGGATAGGGTAGGCTGCTTGAACTGAACTAAAAGAGGTTCCACATGGTGTATTTGCCAGGATAAAAATGGGGAATGTTAGCCAGCCAGAATCCTGCTCTCCTAGCTGGGCAATGGGTACCAGAGACTCCCAGGAGGAGGAGCTACCTATTTCCCCTTCATGAATGTCTCCTACCCTTGCTACTGGAACTGTTTCCCTTTCACTGCTGGCCCCAACGGTTTCCCCCATTTATAGATGTGGGTAAATTTCTTAGGCTGTCTATATACTGGCACCCTTTTCCGTAAAAGAGATGCTAATGAGACACTTCGGAATTGCAAATTCCGTGGGGGATTTAAATATCCCCCGCGGCATTTGCATGAACATGGCTGCCGCTTTTTTCCGGCTCAGGGTTTTGCCGGAGAAAAGTGCCAGGCTAGACGGGATCTTGCGGAAAATAAGCCCTTGAAAGTAGGAATAAGGGATCTTCCGGAAAAGGGCTTATTTTCCGCAAGACCCCGTCTAGACTGGCGCTTTTCTCCGGCAAAACCCCGAGCTGGAAAAAAGCGGCAGCCATGTTCATGCAAATGCCGTGGGGGATATTTAAATGTGTCTCATTAGCATCCCTTTTACGGAAAAGGATGCCAGTGTGGAGACAGCCCTTGAGTTCAATTTGCTAATATAAACACTTATCCCCGGGAAGGGATAGTCAATTTCTGATACAAAAAAGTTACTCATTCTATATACAAGGGCTGAGAGAACTCATTGTACTGTTGCTTAGAAACATGCATCCCAGACTGGCCAGAAAAGGGCCTTAATCAATGGCTGAATCCTGTCCTACCTATAGGGGAAGAAATGGAGATCCAAAGAACAGATGTTAGGAGCCCTCCTTACAGTAAACAATAAAAATAGAAAACTACCAAGTAGTGAAGGGTATTTTTAATGTCAGAAGGAGAAAGATAAACAACTATTCAAAGATTATACTGAACTGGCCCAAGACACTACTGCTCTCACCAAAGGACGTACAGAAACAGCTCCTGGAGGCAGTGAGCAGACAGAATGCTTTGCTGGAGCACATGCTGCTGTCAGGAAAGCAGACAAAGCAGCACCCTCAGAAAGGATCCAACCATGTTCTATAGCCCCTGGATAACATCTGTCAAGATAGGTGTCTGTCAGGGATGGTCTAGGTGTCTGTTGGGGTGATCTAGAGGGTACTTGGTCCTGCCGTGAGACTGGACTTGATGACTTCTTGAGGTTCCTTCTAGTTCTGGTATTTCGTAACACAGTATGGCTACGTCTACACTGGCCCCTTTTCCGGAAGGGGCATGTAAATTTCATGAGTCGTCGTAGGGAAATCCGCGGGGGATTTAAATATCCCCCGCGGCATTTAAATAAAAATGTCCGCCGCTTTTTTCCGGCTTTTAAAAAAGCCGGAAAAGAGCGTCTAGACTGGCCCCGATCCTCCGGAAAAAGCGCCCTTTTCCGGAGGCTCTTATTCCTACTTTGAAGGATCCTCCGGAAAGGGGCACTTTTTCCGGAGGATCGGGGCCAGTCTAGACGCTCTTTTCCGGCTTTTTTAAAAGCCGGAAAAAAGCGGCGGACATTTTTATTTAAATGCCGCGGGGGATATTTAAATCCCCCACGGATTTCCCTACGACGACTCATGAAATTTACATGCCCCTTCCAGAAAAGGGGCCAGTGTAGACGTAGCCTATAGGGGGAACACCAATGTGTTCAGTAAAGCTCCACAGCTTTGTTCCTGAGGCCATTTCCACAAGGCAGCAAGAAAGACAGCATGTGGCAGCCAAGTACATTTGAGCCTTTCAGTACACAACATTCAACTTTATATCCAGACATATAATCCAAGGAGGCACATGTAGAAGCAGAGGTAAAGTCTGCACATCTGTGAACAGGAGTCCACCAATGTTGTGTGCTGCTCCTTCCAACCCACGATATATGGATGTCACTTTCATTTAAAAACTACTCAGTAATTAAAAACACAAATGTTGTAATTTTTTTAAGTTATTTTGTTAGTTATTGCTATATCTCAAAAATATTAATGTGAGAAAGCACCTGCAATAAGTGTACACTAAACTCACCAGTTTTCAAGTTAGTTTTTGTTTTGTTACTCTTGAAAAAAACCCTAAGATTACAACGTCACTTTTGCTAGCCATAATAGGTGCTCAAAAAAAAAAAAAAATCAAATCGTTTCTGGTTTTCCACTACCTGCTACACAGTTGCAACATGTCTTATACAAAGTGTCTCAAGTAAGGTGTCAATAGAAAAGTTATGATTCGCTGAATATTATAATGCTATTTGTATGAATATATCATTTTCGTATCTGAAGCTATAAATATTACCTATTTACTTATATTTCAAATGTTTTCTCATGCAATAACATCCAGAAAGTATTTAGCCTGCAGACTGGGAAGGGACTATTCAAGTT